TGCCTGGGCTTCTTTCATTGCAGGTTACATTGTTATGCCAGTAGGTGGTAGCCAGAGACTGTCTTAATCAGTTAGTTAACCACTGAAAGAATACTATGACAAAGATATCACTTTATGGATATACAGCAAATGTGCAGGGAATTGTGCTTCACACTGGTGCACTTATGAATAGATGTATTATAGCAAACCAAGTTTAATGAATCTCACACCTAACATACAGCATTATGGTCAGTTTACACTGCCACAAAAACTATTTAAAAAAACATGCTTATTTTGTTTTGTTTGGACAGTGTGTTCACCCTGTTGGAGTATGGCGGTGTGAATGGGCTTTTAGGTGCTTTGGAAAAAAAACAGTAAAAAAATATATATATTTTTAATGTTTAAGCAATTAACATTAAATTCTTAAATCTTAAGTAATTCTTACTTTTTCCTATTCTTGCAATATTCAAGTGTTCATGTCCCTGAGTAATATCTGCATGCACCTAAGTCTGAAGAGAACACATAATATGCTAGTAGACAGCAATCCATATGAGAGAGAGGTCTTGTGTGGAGGGTGGATCTGGTACTGACTTCTGTACATGTTATCACAACATCTCTTGATTATCTGTCTTCACGAACTGCCCTGAAATACAATTCAAACATTAACAATGATTGTTATAAATGTAACTTGAGGCTTTTACATTCACAATGCTCATTTTGGCCTCTACAGCACATTTTGGTGGTGAAGTGTGCAGGAAATTCTGCCAGACTGAAATTTAATCTTTGGTGAACAGTCTTCAAGAGTGCAAATAAAACTTTAAGTTTTAAGTACCTTTCAGACTCGCGTGAGGTTTCCACAAGCAACAAAGTCTACTTGAACAAACACTTCACTGCGTTTAAAGTTTAGAAAATACCTAATATTGAAACAACTAAATGGATTTATATAATTTTACCTCAGACTGTAAACCAGACCGCTTCACGTGCTAATTAACTAACAGGAAATTATAAAATTAAACATTGGGAACTTAATAACTTTACAATACAAAACATTATAAGTCTATAGTTACATTTAATGTTAGATCGGCAAATTGACTAATAAAAAAATTCACCTTCACCTTCCATCCAGCTTGGCAGATCATAACCTTTACAGACTGTTAAAGGGGTCATATGATGCTGCTAAAAAGAACATTATTTTGTGTATTTGATGTAATGAAAAAAATTTAAATAGCATCATATGACCCCTTTAAAGTTTGAAGTGAGGCACATTCACAGTACTCTGGTTCTGTCTTATTGTTATTAATTTTTATTTCAAGGGTTTTTTATTATCATCTGTGTCTCATTTCGAATTATGTTGGACCCCTCTGTAGGTTGTTGTGTATAAAGTGTCCTCACTGCAGAGTTAAACAAAATGACCTTGTAGGACATACAGGCAATATTTGATATTTTTTTTATTTTTTTTTTTAATATTAGATAAACTTTTGAATGTTACTACTTACTAGTCAGATGGTTCATAGCGCCTTGGAGATGTTCTTTAACAGGAGATCCGCTCCAGCTCTGCAGCATGGCCATCAGCATGGAAGAATATAGGAACAATTTGTCATGGACCCAACTATATATAGTATACAATGTCAGGTGTATTAGAAATAAACAAACTAGAGCATAGGTGAAATGCAGAAAAGAGAAATAGTAATATGGAAAACAAACAAAAAAAATCTTTATTAGAAATAAACAAACTAGAGCATAGGTGAAATGCAGAAAAGAGAAATAGTAATATGGAAAACAAACAAAAAAATCTTAAGATACCAGAATTCACATTTTTAGATTTTACAGATGCATGATGATATATTGTGAAAAATGCATATAAAGTTATTTAATACGCTTTCTCACATTACCTATGTTTCCAATACCTCTGTCAGCAGCTCCCATTAGAAATTTTTCTTGGAACCTCCCCTCTGTTTTAGAGGTTTTTTCTGACGCTCCTGAAATCACAGTACAATTTTTATCAATATTTGTTTACAATAAAAAAAAACCTGTTTGAAACACAGTGGTTTGATATAGTTTCAGCCCATTGTAGCCTGCATGTAAGTGACGTCACCGATTGGCTCTACAGTGCAGACTTTTAGGTTAAATTAATTAGCTTACTTCCATTTATCTATTGACAAATTACCAGCAAAACATTTACAAAGCTATCAAAACCGCTCATCTACACATAAGATGTGATTAAAAGCCCAAACTTTCAAATCTATAGTTAGCCTACCTCTTATAGTTAGCCTGTATAGTTAGTTAACGGTTGTGTTGCTAACGGTTGTGTTGATAACGTTTTTTTTTCGAAGACACTAAACCATTTCTGTAAAGTAAATATTGAACAGAAACGTGTCAGTTACATGTAAGAAAGTGTCAGGAACAGTTGTATGTATTATTTGTGTAATTTTAGGGACTAAACT